TGAAATCATTAAAAGGAAAGAGTAAACCATGAGCACCTTTCAGCTGCTGTACCCATTACTGCATTTTTACCCCTCTGCTCCAGCACTTGCCATGATTTCAGATGCCTACACTTGTGTGCGATTTGGCTATTTATGACAGTATTTGTGACTGTATGGTACTGTTTATCTTCCCAGATCTGAACTCAAGAGAGCAGGAGACTCTGCAACCTGTGCACGTCATCAATGTAGACATTCAGGATAATCATGAGGAAGCCACGCTGGGTGCCTTCCTCATCTGTGAGCTGTGTCAGTGTGTGAGTGTCTGCTAGCAGGGTTCTTAAATCTCGTTCTAACTGCAGAATGTTTTTTGCTATTTTACAGAAGGCATGTTTTTAAAAGCTTTTAATGTTTGTTTTTTTAATAGAACATTACCTAAAGATTTACTGCATAATGTTTACTAAATGGTCTTTAATATACTTAATCTGCCAAACAGTATATTTCTACAAGAGCAGCTTTAGTTGACAACTAATAAAAATGATGCCAATACTGTGAAAGGGTGTCAAGAGTCACATGGTGTACAGAGACTCATTGGTACAAATGAGCGGTGTGTGTGTGTGTGCAGGCTGTGTTTAATGTGATTCCTTCTCTGCCCCTGCAGATCCAGCACACTGATGACATGGAGAATGAAATCGATGAGCTACTACAAGAGTTCGAGGACAAGAGCAACAGGCCTTTCCTTCATACTGTCTGCTTCTACTGATGCACAATAGAATTTTCCAATAAACAGACCCAGATGACAAGCAATCAAACAGTACATGGATACAGACACTTCATTCTCAGTCATCGGCAGCAGGGTACATAACGCATTGTGTGCCTGCACAGTCTGACACACACAACCACGCACACATACGGCTTTGGGCCGGGACCTAAATATGTCTGCTGTCGAACATGCAGAGGACAGACTCGCTGCTCTCACTCTGCCTTTATTCCTTTGGGTCAAGGTCAGGCCAAGGTCTCTGCCTCCAACCCAGTCCAGTGAAATCACTCAACCATGTCTCCTCAGGGAGAACCATAACACAAACACCCCCTGGTCAAACACCTGCTTTACAAGTTCTTCTAATTTTTGTTCGGTACAGCATAGTGATGCTGATTTAGTTTTTTTTTTTCTTTTCTTTTTCTAAATGATATATAATTAGAATTCTTTCAAGTATATATGTGAGATTTTGATTCCTGGTCTAGGACTGAGTATCCTGGGGTCAGGTATGGAAGAGAATTGAACTGAATGTGTTTTGTTGCTACCATGTGTTGTAGATTAGTTAGGATTAAGTTAAATTGGGTGGGTTTATTATGAGTAACCAAGCCCAAACCTCTGATGCTCTCCTCCAGTGTGTTTCCAGTATATAGTGTTGGGTCATATTTAAATTTGCTATGCTGTCTTTCAGGGCATTTTTTTTTTCCTAGACGTTAAAAGAATTGAGGCATTGTAATTATTTGAAAACTGCGAGCTTGGCTCAGAGTGCCTGATTTTTCTGTATGTACATATGAATCCACTAAAAAGAAATATCTCAAATGTCATGGCTCTTTGTTTACTTTGTTATATCATGTAAGAGCACTGATTAAATACTAGGACATTATCTGAATTACTGTACTAATGAAGTCCAAACCACTTGCTTGATATGTTTTATTACATGCTATGAGTTGATTACTTTAAAATATAACAAGTAAAAGTTAGGTTAAAGCAAATATATTGATAGCATGTCCTCAGTTTGGCTTTGTTTGAAAAGTAATCCCCTCCATCTAGTAAATCACTGCAAACTTTGTGTGATTGAGGTGTGCTAAATAAATCTTATCTGGGTGAAGCAATCGTGTATATGTAAATGCTTTTGTGTAGAATTAAGTCTGTCCTATCCATCTCTCTCTCTCTCTCTCTCTAGTGGTGGGAAGTAACTAAGTACATATACTCTAGTACTGTACTTAAATACAATTTTGGTATCTTTTACTATGAGTATTTTTATTTTGTGCTAGACTTTTTGGTGTCAAAAAGTCTAGCACTTTTTACTCCACTACATTTATTTTATAACTAGCTACTTTTAAAATCAAATAAAATGGTCATAAAACTTTATTGATCTCCAACAGGTAAATGCACAAGCTACCCAGCAGAAATTCGGACTAGGTAAAACTAGCGATTACCAGCTGAACACAGTTAAGATTGACCTCTATAAATACTACACCACCAGTTTAAAGTTTGGACACACTCTCCCACTGAATGAGAAAGTGCAGCCAAACTTTTCACTGTAGCTTTCTGAGACAAAGACACTCAACAAGCTATGGGTTGTGTAACAACTGAAAAACAGACATTTTACTGTAAAAACAATGATTATTTATTCATTCCAACAGAGACACTCCACTGTGCACATTTATATACTAGTATTACAGGCAAAAGTCTGGTTTCCATATAAAGTACGCTTTTACAATGTATATTACATTATATATTAGAATGAAAGAGCCTCAGTTGTTGTGTTCTGAAAATCTCTCAGTCCTGTGAACACATCTTAACAGCTGTCAGTTTGACAGGATTTTAGACAAACTGACAGACTAGTTAAAGGGGCAGAAGGCTAATTTTTCTAATCCAGGCAGGACCACTGAGTAAATCTAAAACTCAAACTGGGGTTCCATCTTTCGGAGAAGAAGATCCAGTCTTGTCTTCCTTTTCCATCTTGCCCTCACTGTCAGTGGAGGCAGCAGAATGGGTTAAAAACTCTGCTGCTGTCGTAGCTTCTGCTCTGACAGCATCCTCAGAGTCTTGTCCAGCTGGGAAGGCACTTTTGCCTTCTGCCTTTTGACCTTCTTTTATGCCTGAAGAAGGCTGAATACTGCCACCTGCTTGTTTTGTATCTACCTCAAGGACTGGACTGATCACCTCCTGAGCCTGAGGTGCCTCACTGAGGGGCAGAATAAAGCCAGTTTTGCCTCCGCTGCCTGGCGCCCCAGCTGGTGAAGGTGTAAGGGTCTGAGCCTCGTTTTCTCTGTGTAGCCAGTCCATCTTCTGAAGGTGCTGCTTGACAGCGTCGTCAACCCGAGCATCAATCATAGCTTCTGTCAGGACACCATCTTCAGAGGAATATGCTGCCGCCTACAATAACATGAAAATGGATATCTTGAAGCGTTTTGAAGTATAGTATTGTGTAATTATGATTTACACTACTGTTTGTTTTTTAAAAAAAGACTACATCAATAGGTCAACAGTGACTTCAGAGAACAAACCTGCCAGGCCACACCCAACTTGGAGATCTCTCTTCCTGACATGCCCTCCGTTCTTTTTGCTATCTCAGAGCACTTTTTACCATAATCAAACTGTGCCAGCTTCATCCTCCTGCAGAAAGACAGACACAAAACCAAAGATAACACAGTGAGGGAGGGGGAAACAATACTGTAGAATACTGGGGGTGCGGGGGGGGTAGGGGAGCGCTAATGGAGCTCCTGGCTGCCCCTGTGGATAGAGACTGTGGGTTCCTGAGTTATTGTTGTGCTCATGTTCTGTTATGAGGAGCCGGACCGGGCCAGCTGGGCTGAGACACCGTGACTGAGGGTTCTGGTGGGACTAATGGGGTTTGGCTATTGTGTAAATTCTTGTGTGTGTTGATAAAAGCTGGCGCTGTAGGGGTCATGCAGTGTATGGGGCACAAAAAGGCAAACTCTACTATTAAACATGATCAACTCCTCAAAATTACTCGGAATAAATCTCTCTACATGCGAGTGTGCACATGTGTTGGACTGAACCTAAGTACTTGTTTCAGAATGCACCCTTACTGTGCAGTAGCTTGGGGTTGTGCCCAGCCATTAACAGTAATGTAGTTTGGCACTGTACTCACTGCCTCCCTCCAGTGGCGGGCTCCAGCACATATTTGTCAAAGTACAACCGCACCAGCCTCTCCCTCTCCTCAGGACCCGGCAGAGCAAAATTCACTATTTCATCTATACGGTCATTTATGGCCCAGTCAAACTGCTCTGGTTGATTACTGGCCAACACCAGCATGAACCTGCAGGGAAAAGAGAAATCACAGTTAGTGGAGTGCTGGGAAGCAGCCAGGTGATGGTGAAATGTGGCAAAGAGGATGAAACGTATAAGGTTTAGGTTAAAGGTAAATAAATATTTACTTCTTGCTCTGTTCTCCAGTGCGATACAAGAATGCATTCAAAGTGGCTCTTAGGTCTTCACTGATCTTCTCCTACAAAATTCAAGAATGAAGAAATACACATGATGTAGTTAAAGATAAACCAAAGGACTTGTAATAAAAAAAAAGACTTAACAAAAATACTCCCAAGGTTTCTGAGTAATGAAATATATGCACACTTACAGTGGCCCTCTTGCGAAGGAACGCATCAGCTTCATCCACAAAAAGCAGCAGCCTGTAACAGAATAAAACACAAAATAACCAAACTTATCTGTTGACACTTCAAGTGGACATTACTTATTTGTACATGATAGAGCAACACACCCCTGTCGACTTGTGTTGGCCCAGTCAAAAACTTTGTGCATGGCAGTCACCCCATCACGGCCCATGGGTGCTACATCACCACCGGTCATAATTGCATAGTCCATTCCAGAATGCATTGCCAGCTTCTACTCAACACAAAGAAAAATGCCCCACAGTTAGAGGATCACCTCCCATTGAGGTGAAGGTTTATGTCAATCAACATTCTGTCCTCGGGCGTACCTTAGCGAAGAGAGTTTTGCCTGTGCCTGGAGGACCGTACATGAGGATGTTCCTGTAGAGGCCTTTGTTCTGCCTGGTGTTTCTTGTTGCTATGGCGATGTC